CACTTTTTGACTTCCATATGTCGGCCGCCAAATCATCGGGACCTGTAGCTTTTCCTGACTTCATCTTCTTCAGAGCCCTTTCCGTTTCCTCCACGGTTATTCTCTGCACAGGACCTTGCACTGGCGGGACATAAGGGACTGCTGGATGAGCAAATTCTACTGCTGAGATGTTCTCGAAGTAATCATGCCATCGCTTCACTGCTTTCTTGCGGTCCGTCAGGAGGTGACCATTTTCGTCGTTGATGCCGAAAAACTTCTCGATATCCTCGGACTGGCGATGGCGGGCTTTGGCAAGTCGATAAACATAGCGTTCACCATCGCGCGTCTCGAGCTTCTCGCTAACATCAGCAAAGTGGGCAGCTTTTGCGGCAGCAACGGCCTTCTTTGTCGCATTCTTAGCTGCCTGATAACTCCGCCAGTTGTCGACAGTCTTATCGCCAAGAAATACGTGGTATAGCCTCTTCTTCACGTACTTTTTCTTTAACATCGTCCGTCCATAGCCACGCTTGCTTGTCGATCTTCCGTCGCCCAGGTTTTGTTGTGCCGAGTTCGGAACGGGCAGAACGGATTATCGCCTCGGCAGCACTTTTCCAAGTTTCATCAACAGTAGTGACTGCCGGCAACTGAATGTTGGATATCACGACCGCCTCCTTCTCTTTCAAACGCCACCACTTGATTCTCGCTGGTCCACACCGCTCGATTTGTTTCAATTTCGGAGGAGCGATCTTCAGCGTGCAAATCAGCGGTCGATGTTGCGTGGTGACAGTCTCATACGGCACCGCCTTTGCGTCTGTTACGAGCCCTCGATCGCGTTGCCTGACGAGGACAAAGTCGATTTGCGTTCTGGTAGTACCGCTATAGAAGGTGATGAGGTGGGAATCACGTTTCCGGAAATTCGTATTCACGATGGTGAGATCGTGCGAATTTGCATACTCAAGAATTCGTTCGCCATCGTGTTACGTGACCCATATCCAAATCCACCATGACAGTTGTAACCGTCTTTCGCAGCGCCGACGTGACCGTTAAGGTCACCTGCGACAATGACAGCCTCTTCTGACGGTACCATCTGCGGTCTTTTCATCCAGCAGGGTCCAGAACTCGTCCTTGGCTGCTCGGAGCAGCCAGTCTGCGGAGCGTACGCAGAGAAGAAGTGGTATCGCTTACGTTCGATGACGACAACGATCTTCATTAAGACGGTCGTCGAAGCGATCCAACGCTTACTATCGAGTCACGGAAGCGTTCAGAAACAATCACCCGACGCCACTGGTGGTTCTGGGACCGCCACAAAGAACGGCTTTGAAGCCGCGGCCAATGTCCCTCGACTTGCAGCAGGACCACCTCGTTTCCTGCACGGCACAGAAATCAATTCGTCGGCGCTCTAGAGCTTCTGCTAACTCGTACGAGCGGCCCGTCAACGTGCCAACATTTAACGTCGCAACGCGAATCTTCCATACGTTGCAGGACTTTTGGACTAGCCTAGTTGCCCCCCGATGCCGTCCTTGCACCGGAGACCCTCGCATACTTTTCACACTCGCCGGGCTTTGCGAGTGCGCGTCGGCTCCCGCGGACGCCGTAGCATTATCTCGGAAATCACATAGCGACATTAACATTTGTGATGTGACGTGGGTGTTCGTAGGCCGGCCTGTCACGGGGGCCTGTCGCCTGCATTCGAATGTCCGCGATCAGCTCAGCTCACAAAAGTCCCAGTGGCACCACTTGGAGGAGCGGACCCCACCACCTCGCCCACCACCGGGATAGAGAAAGGGCGTGTTGGACGAGTTTCGCAAACCTAGCTGCAGCTGCTCCACACTGAAGCGCAATTAAACCGCTGCCGCAAATGCGCCTGCGCTGAACGAGATTGCACGATAGTTGGCATCGTGCTATACCTCTTTGTTGCAACGGCTAAAGGGCAGATGGAAAGGGAGTGGCGGCTGAACCACCCTTTCGGGAGCGGGGCAAGTTTCAAAGACGTAGCGGAAACAGACAGGACCTGCGAGATTGTTGGAGAGCAAGAAAATCACAGGCAGCAAAAAGCCTTCATAGGAGCTTCTGCAGTGTGGGTGCACTACGCATGCACAACGCTTGAATAAGTTGAGACTACCGTAAGCTTCAGGTAGGTTAGTTTCGTCCGGATAGATAACCTGATTCTAACAACATTAACACGTTGGTAAAAAAAAACAAGTGATTCTTATTTGGAATTATCAACAGCTTGCAAAGCGAATATTTCAGCATCGAATTACCTTCTCAACCGTGACATCTTTGAGTTTTGTGATAAATACGGGCATCATTGGCAAATGTACGGACACATTCTCTTCGACCGTGAGCATGGCCGCAGATTGCACCGTTCCAAATTTGTTGGAGACCTGAAAAGTATCCGGACATGAATCCTGCTGTTCTACACTTTCGTTAAGCGACTCTATAAAAAATCATCTACTGCCATCGATTTAAGATTCTCTGGTACCTAAGATGTTTGACTCCGATTACCTTGCAAACGTATGTTCCGTGATGCTCAGGCAATGCTTCGTAAATCTTCAGGAAAGCTACTCGTCCGTCAAAGTACGTCCGCATAGTCCGACTTTCTGCGACCAGTTTACCGTCATGGTACCACTCAACGGTCACCGAAGCAACGCTGTCCACCTCGAGTTCGAAGAGCTCGCGATTTCCTTCAAAGAAGTGCAATAAAACGCCGAGAATGACGCACTGGCGACCAACCGTACCTATTGCTACAACGGCGTCTTCGAGTGGTCGAGTTATCACTGGAGCACGTGATTCGAGTGGTTTAGAGGAAGATGGAGGGACGCTTGGGCTCGCGCAACGTGAAGTGGATGGCGTACCCCGTCCTAGACTCATTCCTGGTAAAATTAAAAAAATTCGGAGAATTTCTTGATGTCGAGTTTCGATGGCCCAACATAAAGAGCGAAGTACGGTAAGAAAAACTTACCGATGACTTGGACATGACTATGGGTGAAATCTTTTCCTAGGGCATTGTATGCTTCACAAGTGTACTCTCCAGAATCTTGAGGTATCGATTTCATGATATCTAATCGTGTAATTCCTTTTCGATCAGTGTAGTGGAGCATTCGGTTTTCAAGCATCAATTTCAGACCGTCCTTGTACCTGGAGCAAAGAAGGGGTTGCGAGCAAGCAGTGACCTACATAAGAAAAAGTGGAGAAAAGGCCACAAACGGGAGCATGATTAGAGGATAAAGCTTCTAAAGGCAAGTGACAGAAAATCGTTGGGTCACGTACACGGCAGCAAGAGGGTGATCGATCGTTTTGAGACTTTCTGTAAGATGTTACGCTTCTGCTGTTGCAAAGGAAATATCAAAAAAGGGCGTATGCTTATCCCTTAGTAAGTGATGAAGGGAGCTAGAAACTGATGCGACCGTTTCTTTTCTGCACTGTATGCAATTGGAGGAGAAGGAAATGTACCTAGCCAAAAGGTAAGGTATGAAGGTGCGATACGAAGCACGCCTCTCAGCGGAGAGTGTCCTCCCAGCTGCTCGCCGGGGCCATACCCGCGCCACTCGCGGCACCATACGTCTACCCGCTCGTCGTCTGACTATAGTCAGTTAGCAGAGAGAGAGAAAACGTTACCACTAAAGGCAGCATCGCTAAGAGTAGCATCAATACGAAATTTAACGGGTTCTTTTTCTTGTAATCCTGAACCAGTT